ACTATAATAACTAATTAGCATCTTGCGTGTCCGGAAATAGTATTTATGAAACCTGCGGCATGTGGGACGTTCGCACCATAATCCTTGTAACGCACTCGCGTCCAGATATTACAAGTAGTAGTGAAAAACAACATAATCCTTCTCGCTCGAAAAGTTTATCTCTCTCTCCTGCTAGCACGTTCGACTGCGACTGTCCGAGATCCGGCACTTCAATTCGGCGACAAAGGCGAACTGCCTTTGTATGCATTGCGCATTCAAGAGAACAATTCGTCCGGCGAATAACGCCGCACGACGCATCATGTGGAGCGTGATCACGAGTCTCTCTCGATCTTGTCCAGGTCTTCTGCCAGAACGTTTCAGAAATAGGCAAATCTTCCCGTTCGAATCTCGAACAACTACATTATAATGAAACAAAGCTTCCAAAATATTTAGAGAAAGAAACAACCCAATCGACACAGAACATTATATTTATGTTAAAATTTCGCACTCAACAATATAAATGTAATATAACACACATGGTGTTGAGTGCGAAATTTTAATATAAATGTAATGTAACTAATGCTCTGTGTCGACTGGAAATTACCGCCTGCTCTTGTTACGAATGTAACAGGAGATAATAATTTGGATAGTAATTACAAGATGTAATTTTTTACAGAAATATGTATAGAAATGCATATGTACAGAAAAAGAATCATGTGTTGAACGAGGTATAAGTTTGTGCGCGATGCCGTGTTTCTCAAACCCGCAATTATAGGCGTACCACAGACACGAACCGCCAGTAAATGGGCGTAGAACGGACACGCACCAAATAGAGACTTTACTGGCAACGTCTGCAAATGGGCGTAGTCAACGTAGTTCCCGGCTATAAATGGGCGCAAATGGCGTTAAAACCAGTCATCAAAATGCATGTCGCCAAAAACGCCGGCGTGGCCGTTCTCAGGCTTCTCTCTAATAACAGAGAGGAACCTGAGAGCGGCCAACACGGCGTTTTCGGCAACACCGATTTTTCGCACTGGGAATGGGCGCTATCTGCATCCATTTCGAGAGGGGAACTACGATGCTACATCCACTTTTAGGTTTCGACGGTAAAACCTGCATCTGGTGGCTGTCCGTGCTACATCCACTTTCAGGCGGTTTATGTCTGTGCTACAACCATAATAGCGTACTTGACAAGCACGGTCTCGCGCATTGTTATGCATTTGTAACATGAATTAACATGTTAACATGCACAAAAAAAATAAGAATTGAAATTGTATATGATTAATATCATGAAGATTATATACGATTTATATCTATATATAAATATATGATAATAAGATAATATTTTGTGTGTACCCAAAATTATTTTTCCAAAATATTTCAACGTTACGTTAGTATTTATTTATACTCCGGCAGACGTTTTTTAGCGTAGTTGTGTCCGTGTGCATGTGTTGCGTTGAAAGTGTGCGTGACGTACGTGTGCATATACGCACTCACACACACACACACACACACACATACGTGTCATACGCAACAGATAGAATCTCAGGGTATATGCTTAAACATTTTCAATTGCCATACGTTTCTGTGTAAGAATGTAGTCGGCACACACACACAGAGAAACTGCTCCCGTCTATCCGTCTGAGGTCCCGCCCTCCGCTCGGCTTGTTTTGAAGAGCCAAGCGAAAGAGAAAGAGAGAGAGAGGGAATGTATTCGCTCCATCTCGCTCTGATTCGCAACGTTGCCGAGATTGTGCTTCCCGACACACGGCCGAGATTGACGTTTCACTCTCGACGTGATCCAACGAGATGATCAATAGCAATCGATTTCGACCAAACTCGTTGTGTCGATAGATTTGCATGACAAATTAACATTGCACTTAAAGATACGATGTAGTATTGAAGCCTTTACAAGAAAGTTGTGATTGAAAATCGCGAGTGCTCCATGAACCAAATGAAGGAGCGAGTTTCTCAAAGAGCATGTGGCTTGGTGGAAGTGCGCTAGACTCGCGGGGTTGAGGTCGGTGGTTCGCACCTCCTTGGCGGTCGGCGTTGTCCTTTTCCGCCAATATTTTTTTTTTCATTTTTTAGGAAAATGCACGTGTTGCATACAACATACGTGTATCACAATAAATTTTTTTTCATTTTTTAAGAAAATGCACGTGTTGGATACAACACACGGGCATCGCAAGCATTGCACGTTTCGTTGATGACACTTCCTCTGAGACCCCGCCCTCCGCTCGACTTGTTTCGACGAGCCAAGCAAAAGAGAGACAGAGAATGTATTCGCTCCATCTCGCTCTGTCTCGACACGCAGCCGAGGCTGATGTTTGTCTTTCGGCGTGGATTCGACGAGGGGACGACCAATAGCAATCGATTTCGACTCGGTGCGTCGATAGACTTGCATGAATTAACATTGCATGTAGATCGGCGTTACCTTTTTTTCCATTTATTTTTATTTTTTTTTTTTTTTTACGTGGGGAAATCCTCATGGACACCCCGGCTCCTTGCCGGGGTAATGCCGGACTCTTACCGGCTAAAACCCCACGGTGACTTACCTCTGGCGCGATGTTTGGGAGGCCTTCCCGCGCCTGTCCTTTTCTTTTCGTAGGTCATATTAATTTTTTTCTATAACTATCATACATACAACATAGTTATAAATTGAAAATATATTTACATATATTCCTGAAAACCAGATATTATTTACATTAATAATAATCAGGAATTTTTTGCAACCTATAGTTTACATCATATCATAAAAAATGTTTGTAAGTACAATATATACCTATTTGTATGTACTTGTATGAATATTCTCTATATTTCTATGAGGAGTGTTTTTCTGTGAAAAGAGCCTATGAAAATCATGAAGTTGTGATGTATAACGTAGGATGCAGAATCGTTAAACATACAAAATTTTGAACTCGAAACGAAATATTCCATTTGTTGGCATAAATAAACATGACTTAAAGATCGCAATCACAGTTGAAACAATTGCATAAATCTTAGGCTAGCAGAACCCATTACTATAGGACGCATTTCCTGCAACATAAATATAATAAAAACCATTGGTATATATGTGTGCGTGAATGCATATGTTACAAGCTGTTTCATATCACTATTTTTGCAAAAATTTCTTAGAAACGTATATAACGTTAGGAATCGAGCATGTGCAACCGGCCATGAATAGTTAATTTCTGAGCATAGCTAAAGCCAACGGCACATGGTGCTTGTTTTCGTGCTGGATTGCTTGCTGGATGAAAATACTGCGTTCTGATTGGTGCATTTTCATCCATCTTCGGAAGGGCAGGGCCTAAGTTCCACAAAATAAGTTTAAACCGTGATTATCTGAACTGACATTACATTTAACGGCATGGTTAAACTTATATCGCGTTCCACATCATGTTTTTAACTGTAGTTTACTTAAACCTATAGTCTGTATGAAGAAACTGCCAAAGACTTTTCTTTCTTTTCAAACGTAGAGTATAATTGGTTGTTGCTAATAGTGAAAAGAGGGAAAATTGAAATAAGTTGGATACTATGACATCTAGTAGAGAACAATATATTTGTTTCATATGAAGTAAACACTAACCAACATTAACATTTGCTGTATTTGTATATAAGTATTAATTTATTAAAAGGTGGAAGTCCAGTGTTAATAATAATCAATTAGTTTATATTATTGATTTGATTGCATTTATCATATAATTAACTTTTATATATAGTTTTATACTCTGTTTTAGAATATAATCCATCGAAGCAAAAAACCCAATATTTTAAATTAAATTTATATACTTATTGTTCTGTTTTATGAGAAATTTCATGTTCGATTTTTGCTAGAACTGCAATAACAGATTCTTTTGATAATCTAAATCGTGCATGAAAATCGACATTATCAAATTCTTCTAAATATGATGGTCGTCTTATTCTTATATTTCTTGTCCGTCGATAAATTAGGTTTTCAAAATCTTCATCTTTAAATGAAGATAATATGTATTCTAAAGCCATATCTCTTTGGTGTTCAAACGTTCAAAATATTTGTCAACTGAACTCCAAATCCGGGAGAGTCATAAATTTTTTCCTCAAATTGATGGTACTGCAGTGTTAAACTTCGTTTAAATTCATTAAACGCCCAAAGTTTTGGGTTTAACTTTAACTGTGAGAAATCAACGTTAATCATGGTTTAAGGCAGTTGTGGAATGCAATTTTTCATCTAAACTAGGGTTAACGAGTTAAACTTCGTTTATAGTAAAGCCAGCGGCACACGGTGCTTGTTTTTGTGCTGGATTGCTTGCTGGATGAAAATACTGCGTTCTGATTGGTGCATTTCCATCCATCTTCGGAAATGCACCAATCAGAACGTAGTATTTTCATCCAGCAAGCAATCCAGCATGAAAACAAACACTGTGTGCCGCTGGTTTTAGTTGTGGAACCGGACCTTAGTAAGTAGCTTTTTCTGTTGAACGCGGCCATTATTGTGGCCTGTGTACAAGGGTTATTATGTGGTCCTTTGTAGCTACACTGCTGAACTAGTGCAATAAGCTAGAGTGAGAAAACCTATATTTATCTCACTTTGCAACTTATTGCACCAGTTCAACAGTTCAGCTACAAAGAACAGACCAATGGCTGCGTTCCGATATTCACTGCCAATATTGAAAATATATAGTTTGTGTCACATATACTATAGATTTTTAGTGCTGGCAGTGAATATCGGAACGCAACCTATGGGCAAGAGCACAGGCTTTTGCATAAAGTCTCTTGCACAATGCCAGGCAATAAAAATAAAAATAGACCAATCACAATAGATTATTCTTGTAATAGTTGATTATGATTGGTCTATTTTTATTCTTATTGCTTGTTGCCTAGCATTGTGCAAGGGGCCTAACACATAATACATACACATAAGAGAATAAACCAATTAGTTTTCTTCATTTCCCTCCTCAGGACAGAAATGGAGAACTCTGATTGGTTGATTCTCTTATGCGTTGTGTATTATGCGTTATGTAGAAGTCTGTGCTCTGGCCCTTTATCTTGCCTTTGGTTGTGCTTGTATATTTGCAGTGGTGAATAAGTACTCGTAGCGTGATTGAGTAACAAATCGAATTCGGTCGTAAACGCGAACGAGTACTTGTGTCGCATTTGTGAAGTTTTACGGAAAGTCAGTGACGCAGTAACACGCAATACAGGGAACAGCGAAGTGCACGACAGAGACACTCTGATACGTTTAACCTAACTTAACCTTCGAGGTTTGCAAACATCCACCACGTTTTTCTCAGCTGCTTGCCCAGCGTATCGTGTTTTGAGGCACTTCGAAAAGAAGGAAGACCTTACACGTGCTCGATGTCCGCTGGCATGTTTCGTATCTCGGCGAAAACGACTCCGTGTTACTTGCCGTACATCCTCGCGTTCAACGTACTTTATACACTTTGGAGACAGAATCGAGTGATATAGTGTTTACTGCAACTGTATTTGCGTAACTGTGATTAATTAACTTATTTTTTTATACGTATTCTATTAACGTTTGTACGTAGAGCTTATTACAGCCATTCCATTGTACAATCTTTATCTTATACATTATATAATATAAAGGTTCGTATAATCATATAATTATGTAATTTCATATTACAGTGCAGAAGCATATGTGTTTCCATGTGTGTACATGTATTATATATGTGCAAACACATATACTATATGTGTCTATATATACATACATATATATATATTGATATATTCTGTTACAGATATCAAAAATGCGTCACATTAGTGCAGAGAAACTGACTGCTATGCAATTTGATACATGGCGTATCAGAAATATATGTATACTTGCTCATGTGGACCATGGAAAGACTACTTTAGCAGATTCTCTTGTCGCAAGCAATGGTATCATCTCGAATAAACTTGCTGGTAAACTTCGGTATTTAGACAGCAGACCGGATGAACAACTGCGTGGGATTACGATGAAGTCTAGTTCTATAACACTACATCATGTGTACAAAGAAGAAGAATATGTAGTCAATTTAATTGATTCCCCAGGACATGTGGATTTCTCATCTGAAGTTTCGACGGCTGTTAGATTGTCTGATGGTGCATTCATTGTAGTCGATGTAGTAGAAGGTGTTTGTCCTCAGACACGTAGTGTTCTGTCTGTATCTTACATGGAAGGTTTGAAACCGATTTTGATATTTAACAAGATTGATAGACTGATCACAGAGATGAAACTATCTCCATTGGATGCTTACATCCGTATGACACAGATTCTGGAGCAGGTGAATGCGGTTATGGGTGAAATATTTGCAAGTGATATAATGGAGCGTGAAGAACGACAAGAGACAGTTCCAACCACTAACAAAGTAAATGAGAGAAATTTAACCGACTGGCAATCTGGACTCGAGGAGATTGATGATTCTAATTTGTATTTCTCTCCGGAACAAGGAAATGTTCTGTTTGCTAGTGCGTACGATGGTTGGGGATTTAGCATAAAAGAATTTGCCAAAATTTATGCAAATAAGTTAGGATTTAGCGAGAAGGTTTTGTGCAAGACACTTTGGGGAGATTTTTATATAAATAACAAAACGAAAAGGATTATGAAGGGAGCTCAGGAGAAAGCCAAAAAACCGCTTTTCGTGCAACTTATTTTAGATAATATTTGGGTGTTGTACGATACTTTGGTGATAAGGAAAGACAAAACCAAATTATCACACATGGCAGAGAAGCTGGATGTTAAATTGACAACACGAGACTTAAGACATACAGATCCTAAGATGCAGTTGCAAGCAATCTGTTCGCAATGGCTTCCTCTGGCACGAGCTTGCATCGATATTATATGTGAGGCAGTACCAGCGCCGCATAATTTAAACAGCGAGAAGATTGAACGGCTATTGAGCGGAAACAACAACTTTCGCATCTTACCTCTTCAGACTCAGCAGCTCAAATCAACATTCTTAGCATGTGATTCATCACCGAATGTACCCACTGTTATATTCGTGTCGAAGATGTTTCCCGTGGATAAAGACCTACTGCCCGAGAACCGACCAAAGCCTTTAACAGTAGAAGAGTTGGCGCGCAAGAAGGAGATGGCTCGGCAGAGGCACGCAGAAAAGATGTTGCAGGGCTTCACTGCAGATAAGGTGGAAAGTACGCCTGCCATCAACAACAATGACGTGAAGCATGATGATCTTGATGACAAGAAGCCGGACAGTGCATTGGTGGCTTTCGCTAGGGTATATTCGGGAACTATTAAAATCGGAGACGAAGTTTTTGTTTTAGGGCCGAAACATAACCCTGCGATTGCTCTAGAACGTGAGGAGGCAGGTGAACAGGTGGATCCATCCTTAGTATTAAGGGATTTGAAGCCTGGCAGACATATCACGAGAGTAACCATTGAGAAATTATACCTTCTCATGGGGAGAGAGCTGATAGCGGTGAATCAAGTTCCGGCAGGCAACGTTTTCGGGATCGGCGGTTTGGAAGAGCATATATTGAAGACGGCGACTCTTTCCACGACAATCGCATGCCCCTCGTTCACAGAATTGACCTCTCTGGCTGTTCCTATCCTGCGTGTGGCTCTGGAACCAAAACATCCGAAGGACCTACCGAAACTCATCAACGGCTTGAGACTATTGAATCAGGCAGATGCTTGCGCCGTTGTTCATATCCAGGAAACCGGTGAAATAGTCCTGAGCACCGCTGGTGAGGTTCATCTGGAGAGATGTCTGGAGGATCTCAATCTGCGATATGCGAAAATCGACATTAACGTATCGGAGCCGATCGTGCCGCTTCGTGAGACCATCGTACCACCACCGAAGCTCGATATGGTGAACGAAGCAATCGAGAAAAAAACCGAGGAAGTCGTTCCTGAGATTTGGACGTCGAATCGGCAATGTCGCTTTGAAGTAGACGCGAAACCTCTTCCGGAGAATATTACCAAATTATTGGAGAGAAACGCGGGCTTGATCAAGTTATTGGACGGTCACTGCAACGGATACGCGAAAGAGAACGGCGTGCATGAGAGTCTTTCCGGCGAAAATCAATTCAACGAAACGTCTATGTCCAATAAGCGACAGAAGGAAATGATGGTATTCAAGGACGAGTTGAAGACAGCTTTCAACGAGGCGGGATGGGAGGACGAATTTAATAAAATATGGTCGTTTGGTCCTCGTAAGTGCGGGCCTAATATTTTGCTGAATGCGACGGATTATAAGCACAAGAAGTTTTGGGACCACCAGGTCGAGGACGGTGATTCCCGAGTAGTGTAAGTATTTTTTCTATTAAGTATTTCAGTTAATTTCCGTTGTTTTTTACTTGAAAAACATTTATTTCTATTACAAAATGAATTGATTAATCGATCAAAATATTTTCCATCATTTTGTATTACTTTTTCCCATCTTTCTGGTAAGAGATAAATTTCGTGGCGATAGAACGACTTGAAGTATCTTGTATCTTGAAGGCCATGCTGCATGGAACGGAGCAAGCGGTAATCATATGAGGCCAGTGGTGTGATTCTTTAACTCGTTATTGGAGTTAACGACAGTTTCGTTATCGTTGCGCAACTTTTGTATACTGTAGAAAAGGTGCGCAACGATAACGAAACTGTCGTTAACTCCAATAACGAGTTAAAGAATCGCACTACAGGTCTGGAAAATACACGGCATGCGAAGGAACCTTTCATTCGAACTCTGTCAGCGTTTCTTTGACGACTTTTGCAACATGTGGCCAGGCATTGTCGTGTAACAGAATCACTTTTCTTTTGTTGTGTGCGATTTGTAGTCGTTTTTGATCCAATGCTAGGTTCAAACTGTGTAATTGTCGATACTGGTCAACCGCAACAGTTTCATTCGGTTTTAAGAGCTCATAATACACATAATCTTCTTAATCCTATTAAATACAGAGCAGTGTCTTATGACCATGAATATTGTTTTGGCGCGATGTGGATGGTTGGCCTGGGTTTACCCATGATTTTTTGCGTTTAAAATTGTCATAATGGATGCACTTTTCACCACCAGTGACAATCCTATAAAAAAATCTCTTCTTTCTGCCTGGCAATCAGAGCAGTGGCGATAGATACGTGGTTCAGCATGTTTGCTTCGATCAGTTCATGTGGCATCCATTTTTCTTCTTTTTGAATTTTTCTCATTGCGTGTAAACTTTCAGAAACTGTCGAAATTGCAATATTTAGTGCCTCAGCCAATTCCTTGAATATTTGAAATTGATTTTGGTTCAATAATGCTTGCAATTCGACGTCTTCAAACTTTTTGGCTGACCTGGACGTTCCTTATCTTTTACATCAAAATTACCATTTTTAAATCGTCGAAACCAATATCTACGTGTTGTTTTTGATGGAGCAGAGTCATCATAAGTTTCCACTAATATTCGATGTGCTTCAGCTGTAGTTTTCTTTGTATCAAAGTAGTGGAGGAGAACATATAAAAAAATAATTTATCGCGTTCCATCTTGAATTAATTTAAAAACAATATCACTGTTTGCAAAAATAAACCTTGATGAACTGAATTCTATTGAAAAACATCTAATTTTTAATATAATATGAGTTCCAGCTGTCACAATTCACTACATTTGCAGCTGGAACCATTTAAATGCGAACAGCGAAAATTACCGAAATACCTAATATATTGATTAACGTAAAATCTTTTATCTTATAATAATAATTAATATAACACAATGATATGATTATTTCAGGTATGACAGCAGTGTGATCAACGGATTTCAACTTGCTACATTGGCTGGTCCTTTATGTGAGGAGTCCATGATGGGAGTTTGTTTTATTGTTAGAAAGTGGCAGATTCTTGATATTCCAGAGAGGTACGTAAACACCGATAGTTGTAGCATATTTTTATTAGTAATCGCTAAGTAAAGTAATATGTCCCAAATTAATATCTTTGGTCAAAAAGTACTGTTATAAACAGCATAATGTTATTGTTCATTGAAATTACGACATTAGAAAATGAAAAATTGCATTGAATCTTGCACAATAGCGAAGATATTAACTATTGTAATAATATTAGGAGGTTGAATTAATTCTGATCTTTTGTCAATTTTTTATCTTTATTTTAAAAAAATGGTTAAATTTACATGAATCAAAATATTTTCCATCGTTAGCTGTGACTTTTCCATCTCTTTGGCAATATAACGATTACACGACAATAGATCTGTTTTTCGTAGCAATCAAATCAGACACCTATTTTTGCTTATTCTCGTAATTATTTAAGTGTGTATCTGCCAAAGCATGTTGTATCGATCGGAATAGATAGTAATCAGATAGTATTAAGTCTGGAAAGTATGCTGGGTGCATACTCTCGTAAAGGATTTTCCATTCGAGCTCTAACAATGTTTATTTAACGAAGTAACATGTGAACAAGCACTATCGTGCCAAATAATCACTTTGCATCTATTGCTAGCTATCGCTGGCATTTTTTGCTTCAATTCATCATGTAATTTATTCAATTGTTGCTGGTATCGCTCCTCCGTAATTGTTTCATTCGGTTTTAGAAACTCATAGTACACCACATCTTCCATATCCCACCAAATACAGAGCATTGCTTTGTGACCGTAAATGTTCTGTTTTAGTGTCGATGTTAACGGTTGTTCTGGATCAACTCATGATTTTTTCACTTTGGATTAACAAAATAAATTCATCTCCATCTCCAGTTGCAATTTGCTACAAAAAATTCTTTTCTGCCTGGCAAGCAAAGACATGACGATATTCAAATGATTTGCAATGGCATTTTCACTCAATTCATGTAGAACCCGTTTGCCTTTCTTTTGAATTTTTCTCATGGCGTGTAAGCGTTTAGAAATTGTTGATTTATCGACGTTGAGTTGTTCAGCCAATTGTTTTTGAGCGATTTGAGCGTTTGAGCGGTGTTTTCATTCAATAATGCTTGCAATTCAGAATCTCGGAATTTTTTTAGTTAACCAGTACGTTCTTTATTACTCAAATCGAAATCACCAGTTTTAAATCGTTGAAACCAAAATTTACAATTGGAATACGACAGTTTGATCACCATAAGTTATAACAAGCATTTCATGAGCTTCAATTTTTTCAGCTAATTTTTTCAAATCAAACAGGAAAAGTAATGAATGTTGAAAATGCAATTTTGCATAATTCATTTTAGATGCATATAAATAATGAACTATCAGTGACAATAGCGCGCAAACTGTTATGTCATAGAGAAATGTCAAATTTTTCAATGTTGCTAGATTTCAACATTCGTCGTAACTATTAACTTGTTACTAAAACCATCTATTGCTAGTGACCAGAACTAATTCAACCTTTTAATAACTCGTTTAAAATATCTCATGTGTTTAATTTTCGAAAAAATTTTCGAAAAAAATATTGATCAAAGCATTGCGGTTATAGTCGTTTATTTATTTCCCTTTATTGTTTTATTATTACAATTCAGTTATAAGCTAAATTTCACAACTATCTTACGAAAACCGATGTAGCTATCGTGCGTTTCGTACTAAGCTTTTTAAATAATATAATATAATAACGGTATATATTACGTCAGGACAAAATAAGTAAAGAGGTCAGATTTGATCGCGTTACGCTATCTGATGTTTACTTGAAATTATTCACGTTACACGTAAAATTCACGGCATTAACGGAAACACACGTATATTTGCAGTGTTTACAGTGTTCAGAGCCGAGGACAATTGAGCGGCCAAATAATGTCGACATTTAAGGAAGCGTGCAGACGAGTCTTCAGTCTGCGACGTCCACGGTTAGTGACACCAATGTACAGCTGTAATGTTTTGGTCAACTCCGATGTACTTGGTGAGTGATGCATACACATTTATGATATATGATATATTACTCTTCGATAAAATCGTGACAACAGGAGGGAATAACATATTGCTCTTATCCTGTCAACTGATAGAGAAATAAGAGAGAAAGAGAGAGAGAGAGAGAGAGAGAGAGAGAGAGAGAGAGAGAGAGAGAGAGAGAGAGAGAAATATGATCAATCATGCAATCATGATAATAGCATGCTTGCGAGTTTCGTTCCCGAAGAAATTCAATCATAAAGTCTGTGATCGTTTATTTTTATCATATATCATATATCATCGTAATTTATCGTATAATTTCTAAATTGATCAAATGAATGTACAATAGTTATCGTACTTGATATATTACTGTATTGTATCGATGTTCGTGAAATAATGTTGGTGAAAACAAAATGTTAGTGATGACATTTATTGTAACAGATTTTGGAAACTCACACAACAGTGCACTCGCACAAGTCGTCAAATGTTTTCTTCTATAACCGTTCATTACATCGTTGACGGCAGAGCCGTTCGTCCCTTTGTCATACCACTGATCCGTTTATCGGTACCGTATATAATTAAATTAATCGATAATTTAAATTATTATACATTATTGCATAAAAACTATGAGTAATAAATATGGGCTTACAATGAATAATTAAATAAGAACGATAATACGCGATCCTCTAGTATACGACAGTATACAGGATCAGAACAAGATGAAGGCGGATAGGATGAAGGACAAACGCGGGATAAGCTCATGTTAATGAATCCGAATACGTTGCATCTCAGTACATTTATCTGAAGGAGTTAGGTAAAGCAGATAAGAGTTATATAGGTGGGAAATGGAAGTTTTAAATAGTATTGAAGAACTTGGTCGAAGGGATTTTCTAATGGCTCGATGAGTTATATAAATTAACGAGTAAAATTTGTCGATGATAGATACCATGGGTGACGGAATATCGAGTCGCGTAATTATTCCCAAAGAGACGTCACCATCAGCTGTCGTACTTTGTGCCAAGGGAAACGTGGCTTTTCTTTACCATCTGTGTGTTCTTCTGATAGCATAGCGTGTTACATGCAAAAATAAATTAAAATGTTATATAACTGAGTACGCTAATGTTTGTCGGTATGTATTGATAAAAAAGGCCTGACAAGTGAAATTGTACGCAGTTTCCAGTTATACAAAGTGTCTGGGATCTTTTGGAAACGAAAAATTGTGAAGATTAATTAGATCAAACTGAGAAAAAAATCATGTACCATTTTGTAAAAATCGCAATAGTTATTAAGTTATTAATGATTGAAAATAACCACATCTAGAGGTTCTTTTAATTGATAACTTGAAATCTTGCGTAATTATTTGTAAAATGGTCTAGCGATAAATATGACTATATTAAACTTTGAACCTTGAATCATGAATCTATCACTAGGCACAATAGACGTCATATAATTGTAGATTAGGTCATTCTGAGCAAAAAAGTTCTTTACCATTTTATAAATAAATACGCAATTTTCAAGTTATCAATTAAAAGAGCTTCTAGATGTGGTCATCATTATTATTATCCAGCGGCGCTACAGTTCAGGGTGAACCTTGGCCTGCATTACTACGCTCCTCTACATCTCTCTATCCTCCGCCATCCTTTTCCAACCAGCAATGGGGATCCTTATATCTCTCTCCAGTTCGTCCCTTCAGCACGTTCTCGATCTACCTTGAGTCCTCACTCCAATACAAACAGCCTCACCTATCTTTCTCGGTGCTCTCTCTGTATTCATGTGCACTATGTGTCCGGCCCAACTCATTTTTTATGCCTTTATAAATTTAACCACATCTTCTATCAGATCAGTTAGTTCATGGTTAAATCTGATATTCTTGATATTCTTGATTCTCGTCCTTTACTGGACCAAATATTTTTCTAAAAATTTTCCTCTCAAACACCCTTAGTTTCTCCTCATCTCTGGCAGACATTGTCCAGGTTTCGGCGCCATAGTATAAAATTGTTCTAATGATTGTCTTTTTTATACAATCTTAGCTTACAGGTTTGTGAGATTAGGTTTTTGAAAATATTTTGTTGAGTGAGAAGGTGACTCTATTAGCATATATAATTCTCTAATTAATTTCGTTTTGCATCCTATTTTTATCGTTGAGGTGAGCACCCAAGACGAAGCTGGTGACTATCTTAAATTTGAACCTTCCTATGGCGATGGAACAAATCACTCCTATATCTTTTTTCTTGGTTACTTGTAGGTACTTAGTTTTTTCCTTCACTTACAATCAGTTCCACTCTCCTCGTTTTCTGCGCCATTCTTTCAAAAATTTCCTTCATACTATGAATATTTTTCGCCGCATTATTGTCATCTGCGTAGGCATGTTTGATATGATTTATTTATTATGTGACCTCTTTGGTATAGATCTTTCATTGCATTATGTAAGATTAGATCAAATATCGTTGTGGAGAGCTCGTCTCCCTGTCTCATTTCTGATCTGATTTCGAATTCGTCCGTTAAAGCTCGCTGTAGCATTATTTTTGCTGTTGTATTTGCTAGTGTCATCAAAACTAGGTTAATTAATTTTGTAGATATTGTGGTCATTTTCAATCATTAATAACTATTGTAATTTTTGCAATATGGTACTTGACTTTTCTTCTAAGTCTGGTCTGAGTAATCTTTACAATTTTCTGTTCTCAAAAAATCCCGGATATTTTATATAAGAAGTCTTAGAATTCCTAATATTGTAATAATTCATTTGACGTACCTGAAATACTACGCGAATGTCGCAACGGTCGTCCTCTTCTGTTTCCTTGCACACACATCATCCCATAGACTCGGATGCCAGGAACACTAGCGTAAGTCGGCTGATCGTGACTCATAGGCCCCTCTACGGACCAAATAAGATATAAAAAATGACAGTTATATGCTTTTTAGTATGTCATTTTACTTTCTTGCTGTGAATCCGTAAGGGTTCCTGCTATTCCCGTAAAATAATTATTGGCAAATTCAAGTTTCGAAAACGTATCGTGTTGTACCTTAAACGTTACATATTTTACTTTTAACTTTCATCATTATATGAGGCATTCGAGATTTAAGTAAATCAACATGTTGACAGCAGCGTTGACCTCCGCTAATCGTACTCTCAATATTTTTTCGAGTGAAATCTCACTTGAAACGAATAAAAAGCAGCAGTATTTTTATTATCGTTAACTTAAAATCGCAAAAGTGAATGTCTTATTCAAGTTTCACCCAAGTTTAAAGTATATATATTCTAACTCTGTACACAGAAAATCATTTCGTTGTTAAGGAAAGCGGTCACTTAGTTGACTTTCTTTCTTTTAAGTAACTGTCTCTGACAAAGAATATTTTCTTGATAATATAGTCTCTGAAAATATATTCATCATATATTTTATAAAGGTCATTATCACGTATTTAAAAGAAGAATTTATTCTATAGTCCCATTTTAGCTTAGACACCGAAATATTTTGAAAACAATGCAATGCGAAAAGAATGTTTCAAATAAAAGTTATAGGTTTTGAAAGGGATAGATGAGTTATTTAAATTTTGGGTCCGGAACCCACTTTGGGCTCAATAAAATCTAGGTTGATATTTTCGGTGGAAACGCATATTTTTTATTATATATTTGTATTCTATAGAAAAAAGTAAGAAAATTTCCTTCCTCCCTTGTTTTTTGTTTTTTGTTAAATCTCCGATAGGCGCAAAATAGTACTCGAAGTTCTTATTTTGAAACACATTTCAGCCAATGAAGGCAAGATCAATATTTTAACATGTGTATTGCAATAATATATAAATAGAATAATATGTAAATAGAACAATAATATGTAAATAGAACATTCACAATGAATAGAACATTCACACATTAGCAATGAGTGCTATTGACGGTGAAGAAATAAAATTATCTTTTAGATATCCCCCAAGAATATCTCCGCTGATCGTAGTCTTAACATTTTTTGGAATGAAATCTCACTTGAAACGTCTGCTGGGTTTGCCTTCATTGGCTGAAATGTGTTTAAAAATAATAATTTTGAGCGTTATTTTGCGTTTGTTAGAAGAAGTTTAGCGGAAAATTACAAGAAACAAAATTTTTTTATTTTTTTCCACAAAATATGAATCTGCAATAAAAAATAAGTGTTTCTACTGAAAAAAGTCAATCTAGGCCATATTAGTCGCGCAGTCGACCCCAAACCCAAAATCTAAGTAGCTCATCTGATGGCCCCCTTCAAATCCAACTTTTATTTGAATTTTATTGGAAACATTTTTTTCGAAAATGTATTGCTTTTGAGATATTTCGGTGTCTAAGTTAAAATGGGACACCTTATATACGAGTGTAGAATTCACTCTATATAGGAAGAGTTCGAATTCGAGTGATTCGGTAGTCATTGCTTTTCAAATGACATTATATTTCAAGAAATTTAGAGAGTGCAAGAACTCAATTGTTATTTGAATTATATGAGGAGACGACAAATAAATTTAAATTCGAAACGTATTTTTCTTATACATTTCATCAACTGGCCGTACAATCGAGCAAAATTTCTAATGCAACTTATTACACCTGATGTATAACTTAATGAGACGCAGTAATATCATAGTGCCAGTTACTGATCATTATTTCGAGGATATTTATTAGGAGGGTAAATTAGTTCTGGTCCTCAGCAATAAATAGCTTTAGTAACAAGTTAATGGTTAGTATGAATGTTGAAATCTGGCAACACTGAAAGATTTGACATTTTTCTATGATATGTAACAGTTTGCGCGCTATTGTTACTGATAGTTTCATTGTTCATTGTTGTTTATATGTGTCTAAAATGGATCATACAAAATTACATTTTCGATATTCATTATTTTTTTGTTTGATTTGAAAAAATCGGCAACTGAAGCTCATGAAGTGCTTGTTACAACTTATGGTAATCAAGCACCATTGTATTCCAACTGTAAATTTCAACAATTTAAAAGTGGTAATTTCGATTTAAATGACAAAGAACGTACTGGTCAACTAAAAAATTCAAAGATTTTGAATTGCAAGCATTATTGAATGGAAACATCGCTCGAACGGAAAAAACAATCAGCTGAACAACTCAACATCGATAAATCAGCAATTTCTAAACGCCTACACACCATGGGAAAAATTCAAAAGAAAGGCAAACGGGTTCTACATGAATTAAGTGAAAATATTATTGCAAATCGTTTGAATATCGTCATGTCTTTGCTTGCCAGGCAGAAAAAAAGAATATTTTGTGGCGTATTGCAACTGGAGATGAAAAGTGGATTTATATTGATAATCCAAAGCGAAAGAAATTATGGGTTGATCCAGGACAACTATCAACATCGACATCAAAACGAAGCATTCACGGTCACAAAGCAATGTTCTGTATTTGGTAGGATATGGAAGATATGATGTACTGTAAATTTCTAAAATTGAATGAAACAATTACGGGGGAGCGATACCAACAACAATTGAACAGATTGAATGATAAATTGATAGAAAAAGGTCAGCGATAGCCAGCAATAGACGCAAAGTGATTCTTTTGTACGATAATGTTCGTCCACATGCTGCTTCAATCGTTAAACAAACATTGTTAGAGCTCGAATGGGAAATCTTTCCGCGCCCAGTGTACTTTCCGGACCTAGCACCATCTGATTACCATCTATTCCGATCAGTGCAACATGCTTTGGCAGATACAACTTCAATAATTACAAGTATATGCAAAAATGAGTGTCTGATTGGATTGCTTCGAAAGACATCGTTCTATCGTCGCGGAATTGCTATGTTGCCAGAAAGACGGGAAAAAGTTAAACTAACGATGGAAAATAGTTTGATTAATGTAAATTTAACCGTTTCTTTAAAACAAAGATAAAAAAATTGACAAAATAAGACCAGAATTAATTCATCCTTCTAATAACATGTGGAACAGATCCGAATTTCTGCTTACCAAGTATGTTAGTGTCCGGACATCGGCATATCACTAAATAATGAGACTTTCCTGTGCGCACGTTTTGCAACGCCAATAAAGACCAATCCCTCGATGCTCTGCATTCTCGCATCTCGGCAACCGGCTCGCATGTTTTCACTAAGGTCAAGGCCTAGAACAAAAACGCTCACTATGAACAGCTTTCGTATTTTTATAGTTTACTTCTACTTAGAGTGAATTTAAGATCCATTAGTACGCGAGTTACGTAATGACGTATTTTATTTCGTCATTAATTGTATGTATAAAAAAAAACATCTCGAGGCCCATCAAGCGCCCAGTGAATTGTATTCTTATTCAATACATTTTAATCGTGTCCAATTAGGATGTGCACGCATAACGATGGGACTTAAAAAAAGGACTTAAGAAAGGATAATAAGGAAGTATTGGGTTTATGCATAATTCCGTACCGAAAATCGAATAAATTTCAAACGCAAAATATTTAGCAAAAAAAGCGATTTTAATCAACTAAATATGTTCCATTCTGTTCAATGACTTTCTGCCACCTCTCCACGAACTTCATTATCCCTCTTTCATAGAAGTCCTGAGATCTTTGGACAAAGAAGTCATCCAAGTGATTTTTGAGGACATCCAAGGAACTGAAGGTTTTATTATTCAAATTGTTTTGTAGCGCCTGGAACAAGTGATAGTCTGAAGGTGCAAGGTCCGGACTATACGGTGGGTGCACCAAAACATCCTACCCAAGCCGCAATTTTTGCAAACTTTTGCCAGGTCATCAGAGAAACGTGTGGTCTAGTGTTGTCCTGATGGAACACAACGCTCTTTCTGTTCGCCAATTCGGGCTGCTTCTGATCGATTGCTCGCTTTAATTTGGCCAGTTGTGAGCAGTACTTAGTCGTTTTGTTAGGTGGCAGTAGCTCATAATACACGATTCCTTTCCAATCCCTTCAGATACAGAACATGACCTTCTTCGGGTATAATCCAGCCTTTGCGACCGTCTGAGCAGCCTTCCCGCGTTTCGACCATGGTCTTTTTCGACTGACCTTGTTGTAGATAATTCACTTTTCATCGCCAGTGATTATCCGCTTTAAAAATGGTTCGTTTTGATGGCGTTTGAGCGGCAAATCGCAAGCTGAAATTCAGTCCATTAAATTCTTTTCGCTCAGTTCGTACGGCACTTAAACGTCAAGTTGGTTTACCATCCCAAGCTTCCGTAAATATTGCGAAACAGTTGATTGGTCAATGTTGAGGTTATATCCGATCTCTGTAGTCGTCAAATGCCGGTCGGAGTCAATTAACGCCTTGATTTGATTGACATCAGTAGTGACTGTCCGACCAAAGCGAAAAGCGTCTTGGAGATAAAAATCTCTGCAACGAAATTTCGCAAACCACTTCCGACATACACTTTCGCTTACGGCATTCTCTCCGTACACGGCGCATATCTTTTTGTGAGTTTGCGACGCGTTTTTGCCTTTTCGGAAATAAAAAAGCGAAATGCATCGAAAATCCCCTTTTTGTCCTTCTATGTTCAAAATATAATTAAACTTCGTATACGTTACGAATTTCGATGAATACTTTTTTAAAATGTCGGCACAAATTTCAGCTTTCACTTAATGTACGACATTTCATATGTTTGACACATGTGCGAGCGGAAAAACAACTGCGAACATCTGTCGGAATTTTGCTACGGAATTATGCATAGACCCAATATTATTGTATGTCATTTGAATAGATTACATAGAGAGCAGGTTTATAATAAAAATTACATGTGGTAAAAACAATTATAATTATAATTTGTAATTGAGGAGTATATCGACATTTTCTATTTTAGTTTATTATTTTTCTTTTTTGTATGCGTTTGTGTATTTCAAGAAATATGAAATATCTACCATAAAATATACTATTTATATTTTAAGAAATTTGAAATCTACTCAATCCATTACATTCTATTTGTATTTTTAAAAAATTCATAATCATTATATTGAAAACTTTATAATATTCTTTAGCAAGAATAAGAGCTTCACTGACAGTCTATTTCTGCACTATTAGAAAACATGATAAAATTGAGATAAATTTATGTGAAAAAAGCTGTAATATTCTCTCCATGTACGATGCGTCGAGCGACCATCAACTGGACATTGTTCTTCGATGTTGGGGTTCTGAAATGTATCGAAGTGCACGTAAAAGTTATCGACGAGTCCGAAAGTATGGTGGTCATGAAGATCACGTTATAAGCATCTTGACTCGCTGAAACTTGTGCGAATTGTCTGCGAACTGATTCGTCAGTATGCAAGTCACATTTAGTACACTGAATGAAAGTGAACGAGTTTTTCTCACGGCAGGAAACGCGCCTTAGAATCCGAGCTCCATTCCGTATCCAAGCCGGTCGTACCGGAAATGGCATGTTATGTCTTGCTACTGTTTCCGTAACAGCAAGTCGTGTTAAACGCTAAAGTAAAGTATCGTATAAAAGGAACAGTAACGTTTATTTTTGTAGTCCCAACGGGAAAACTATCGGTCCGTTTGATCATATCTTTCTCACTTGTGACACTTTAAGACTTCTTATTGTGACTTTCTCATTATGGCAGTTTGATTACATTGTAGTTTCAGGGCGTAATTCGGCACTTTCGCTCCATGCGATTTATGCCTTGATTTGCAATTATAATTCAAGTATAATTTCTCGCGTTATTGTTAAATGGCATTTCACGTAAAAGAATTATCTTGCTTTTCTTAATGAGTAGAATAAGTCGATTGAAGAGCAGTGATATAATTATAAAAATTTCAGAGAAATTAAAACATTAGGGATAGGATTAATAAGCAAAAGTAAGAAACAGGCTAATGAGAATTGATCGTAAAATATTAAGCGAGATAATTAAAATAAATTTATCATGTCTAATATTTTGTCGTCGAATCTTATTAATCCATCTTTTACTTTCGTTAAATCTATCTATCGAACCCTTCCTCTCCATAAATAAATAAATATTTACATGTAAATGATTAGAAAATAAAATAAAAATTAGAAAGTAAATTATTGGAAAATAAAATAAAATTGTAGATAGAAATTTCCAGTGGAAAAGGGCAGGAATTATTTAGACTTATTTAGTTCATTTTTGCTCACGATCATTAAGAAAATGTTTCCGACGTTTTTTACTAACCTTGGTTCGTGGATCAGTTACCAGCTCGGTTGTATGTAGATCGTCACTGTCCAGGGATGCGCTGCAGGGGTCTCGATATCTACCGGGACAAGCACACAGAGGTTGCGTAAAATTCAGTCTAACGTAGACAGCATTGCAGACCTGTTGAACGGCGCATTCCGGTAACAAGTAGATGTGCTGATTGTGCGGGTAGTAGTGATACTTAGTCGGTTTTGCAAGAGCTACACTCGCTCCTTCCGGTAGTCGTACCCCCGTCTGCAAATTCGTGAATTTCACGTTTTGTAAATTCGTCAATCTTACGTCTTAATCTGTTAATTATCATAATTATTTTACAGAAATCGAATCTATTTGTCTCCTTCCCAGGTTCCCAAATTACTAATGGTTAGTAGAAATATTTTTATCGGAAACATAAATACATAGCTGGTATAGAATTAGGGGGTGCTGGAAAAACATTAAAATGAGACGATTGCTAAATGATTATTGCTAAATGTATTGCTAAATGATTTTATGGCTCACGATACGTAAGAATTGTAAGAATCGACTGGTATTGAAAGCTTGTACCAGTTTTTTTTTTTTTTTCATGTAAATGTGCTTCATTCAATCGTGTATATGATATTTTATCCTGCGCATCTCCATTAGACCGTCCCTCGCGCTTAGTTTAAATCAATTTCGTTCTCCTGGAATTAGTTGATTTTCCTGGCAGAAAAATTGTTCAAGGACTGCATGAACCTTCGGGACAGCTCGATATACTATGCAATTTACAAGGAAAAGACAATTACGAACACTGATTCGTAATAATTTTCTCGGTAACAAGTATAAATGCGGATTTGATTCGCATTTATCATAGCTATAATCAGGAGAAATTTCTTCAAAAGAACTTGATGTATTCTTCTAATTGTATAATAGTCTCTGCGCTTGTTTTATTCATATTTTTTCGTCTCCCAATTACTAGTAAACGGTATCAGTTTTTTTAGCAATAAATGTCTCTCACAAGTAAACGGTCGGAAGTACTCTGACCCATTTTCTAAGCTTCGCATATATTTTAAAACAGTCAAAGCTTTATACAGAGTATATAAAAAGTACCAGAACGGCGAAATATCTTGAAAACTAAAGCATTTTAGAAAAAAATGTTTCAGACAAAAATTGTATGGTTTCAAGAAGGACATTAAATAACTATACAGGATAACTGTAAAGTCCGATCCCACCCCTAGATCTCGGAAACGGCTTTAAATATGGAAAAATGTTTTATACAAAAGTTATAGGATATTGAGGGGGACACATGATAAAAATATGGACTTGACCTTGAGTGATTTTATAAAGGCCAGGTTAATGTGATCGATGTTTTCTTAAATGGAACCTCCTATTTTTTATTGCATATTCTTGTAGCCCTTGTCGAGACGTTTTCAAAACACTACCTATTTTTGTTTTTTGCGCAAGCCATTCCTAAGATATGAAGCTTCAAGGTTGACATACCATCGGTATTCGCATTACCCAAGGTACCGCGTGGAGGTTGCACGGTCTTGATAAAGTCACTCAAGATCAATTCCATATTTTTATCATGTATTTCCCTCAATATTCTACAACTCTTGTCTGAAACATTTTTCCATATTTAAAGCCGTTTCCGAGATTCAGGGGTGGGTTCGGACTTTACAGATACCCTGTATTATTATTTTTTATTTGCCTAATATTTTTTGAGATATTTAAGGAAAACTTGATAACTTTTTCAATATTGAACTTATGATATCTCGTTAACTAACTTGTTGAAAGAAAAAGTGATACTAGACTTTTTTATTCTATTTGGTCTCGAGAATATACTATCAAGAATATACTATTACAATAGAATGCTCTAACTTTTGTTAACTTGTTGACCTTTGCAAATTTCAAAATTATCAAGTTAATAAAAATTAGGGCACTATTGTAACAGTATATTCGTGAGACCAAATAGAATACAAAAAAATTAGTACCACTTTCTCTCTCGACAAGTAGTTATACCGAGAATATCGTAAGTAAAACAGTTACTACATTTTCCTTAAATAATTCAAAAAATACTAGACAAATAAAAAAATGTTTCAGACAAAAGTTGTCCAAATTATTTAATTGGTAGAAAAAGATGATATTGGGGTTAATAATATAAAAAATTGGGGTTTTCATTAAAGAAAAGTAATGATCAGTGAATATCTCGAAAGTAGAGCCATCTGTATACAAAATGATATAGTTATTTTATGTCTCCCTTGAAACTATACAACTCTTCTCTGAAAGATTACCGTTTTAAATATTTACTAGGTGCGCAACTAAGTTTCCGGGTTTCACACATGGATGGCGCTAATGACACCTGTAGTCGACATACATGTTTGAAGTTGTGTTTTTTTTATAGCTTGGATATCTGTTAACAATAACCAGTCGTAATACCAACACATATCGCAACGTAAAAATATTTTTTCTAACAACGAAGATGTCGAGTTTTGTGCTAAATAAACAGCATTTGCGGGAAGCTTTGCTTTTTTGCTTTAACTTGAAAAAAAGTGCAGCTGAAGCACGTCGTTTGCTCGAGGAGGTCTACGGCGAACATGCACCATCGAAAACTACCTGTGAAGATTGGTTTAAACGCTTCAGAAGTGGCGATTTCGACACTGAGGACAAGGAGCGCTCCGGAAGACCAAAAACAATTGAGGACGCCGATCTGCAAGCATTATTGGATGAAGATGATACGCAAACACAAGATCAACTTGCGGAGGCATTAAACATGACTCGCCAAGGTATTTCCAAACGTTTACATGCCATGGGAAAAATTCAAAAGGAAGGAAAATGGATGTCGCATGAGTTGACTGAGAGACAGATGGAAAATCGAAGAGCCACTTCCGAAATTTTACTTTTGCGGCATGAAAGAAAGAGTTTCCTGCATCGAATTGTTACTGGCGATGAGAAGTGGATATATTTCGAGAATCCCAAACGCAAAAAATCGTGGCTTTCACCTGGCGAAGCATCAACATCGACGGCACGGCCAAATCGCTTCGGAAAGAAGACAATGCTCTGCGTTTGGTGGGACCAGAAAGGAATCATGTACTATGAGCTGCTGAAACCGGGCGAAACTGTCAATGGGCATCGCTACCGACAACAACTGATCAATTTGAACCATGCATTGCTCGAAAAACGGACAGAATGGGATACGAGATACGAACGAGTGATATTGTAGCTCGACAACGCTCCGTGCCATCGCACTTCCATCGTCCAGGACATCATCAAAACGCTGAAATGGGATCTGCTACCGTACCCGCCATATTCGCCAGACCTGGCCCCTTCCGATTATCACTTGTTCCAGTCGATGGCGCATGGCTTGGCTGGGCAACATTTGGCCAATTTCGAAGAAGTGCTAAATTGGTTGGATGAATGGTTTCGGTCCAAAGACGCGTCGTTTTATCGTCGTAGTATTCATGTATTGCCAGAGAAATGGCAAAAATGTGTAGCTAGCGAAGGACGATACTTTGAATAAACCATTTTTTGTATTTCTCTTGAAATTTTCCATTTTTCATTGATCAAAAAAACCCGGAAACTTGGTTGCGCACCTAGTAGTTTTTGAGATATTTCGTCGTCTCAGTACTTTTTGTACACCCTGCATATATTATTATATTATTATACTCATAGTTTTTTTATATGTGCTTATTCCAATATTTTGGGATTGAAACTATTTTTCGAAATTAACGGATTTCGTTATTTTTAGCGAATATTTTCTAATTTATATGTGAAGAAATAATTGTAGAAAATAGTATTTAATAATATTTAATGCTCTTTATAATGGTATGCTGAGATTTTTTAAAAATATCAACATTATTTATTTCCACTTCTCATTATAATTTTTGCCAATTTCAAAATTTTTTCAGAACAAATTTAAAAAGCATCGGAAATCAAATCCATCCATATGTAGTAATATAATGTTTTCTCGGTTACACTCTTATAAAAACGCAATAGAAACTTCACGCTATAAGTGCCGTGTTACATCGCATAATAGATATGCATTACGTTATTTCTTTACCATTACACACAAACAACTTCTCTCACGTAATGTATCACACATAAAATGAATACGAACTATTATAAATTGCGTCATATGTAACGTATTACACGAAGTTATATAGGGATTGATAAATTATTCTGTATAAAAATATAAACGTATTTGACGTTGCAATTTGCCTTAAATTTTGATATGTATATATATATATATATCGAGAATAAAATTTGTGAAATATTTTTATAGTGCATTTTTTTTTCTATTTTTTTAATAGTAATATATATCAGGTTGAGCTAAAATAGAAATGCATATAATATATTAACATTCATAAACAAATTTTTTTTTCATTTATGCAGAGTAAACGTATACACGTTTGTGTGCGTACGTGCATGCATGCGTGTAAGTATGTGACGTGTGATTATAAAACAGATATTTGAAATATAATATATACAATTGTTTAACGAGGTTTAAAACGAGGTTTAACATCATTCGTCGAGAATATATTAGATGTACAAATGAATAATCCAAATTATTTTAAGCAGTTATGAAATCAATTTTAAATTGAATAGATTTTCCCGCTCTTTTGTGATTATGTAATGTTGACATATAGCTATTAAAAAGAACATATAGTTTGGCGAAAGGCCCAACATAATCTTCAAAAGTATTCAGTTCAGTACAGTCAAAAATGGCAACAGATAAGGTGCATATCCGACACTGCATTTTTTACGAATTTCAACAAGGAAAAAATGCTGCAAGAGCATGCGAATCGATTTGTTCCTTTCTCGGCGAAGGTGTTGTATCGTACGATGTGTGCGCATTTTGGTTTAAGTGGTTTAAAGCGGTAATTTCAGTCTAATCGACAAACAACGCCCTGGAGGCCCCCCGAAGTGCGATAATGATGATTTGGAACAACTACTCGCTGAAAATTCGGCACAAACACAAAAAGAGCTTGCAGAACAGTTGGGAGTAACGCAGCAAGCGATTTCCAAACGCCTACATGAGATGGAAAAGATCCAGAAAGAAGGAAAATGGGTTCCGCATGAACTCACTGAAATCAACAAAAATCAACGAGTGGCAGCGTGTCTTTCTCTTCTCAATAAGCGTCGTCGAAGAAGCAGCGTCGAAAGTCTTTCTTGTGGAAAATCGTTACGGGCGATGAGAAATAGATACTCTATGATTCGAAACGTAGAAAGTCATGGGTAAATCCCGGCGAATTATCAAAATCGGTCGCAAAACCCAATCGCTTCGG